CATGAGCAGGATGGTGCAGTCGCTGTGTTTCTGTCTGACCAGGAGCAGACGCGGAGACCACACCCCTGTGCAGCGATTCAATGAGACAAAAATCGCACAGGGCTAGGAAGAGTTGAGGAGCTAACAGAAACACGTTTTTGTCATTAACTTTAACGTGTCTACAAACTCCGTGAAGCTGAGCTTTGTGGCTCTGCCACGGCCTCTGAGCCTGACCTCAGAGAGAGGAAGTGTTTCTGCTCCTGGGAGAAAAACAGGTTACAGGTTACCTCTGCTCACAGCTCTGCACAGCCGTCTGCAGAGCTGCTGGGCTCAGCGTGAACACCAGCAGGGACCAGTTTGTAGGAGAGGACATTCAGGAGGAGGGGGTACCACCAAACCGACGTTCAAGGACCTGAGTGAGGTGAGAGGTCGGAGAGCTTCAGGTGATGTGCAGGCTGTTCTGTGTGGACCATCAGCAGCTGTGGAGGATGAACAGCTGAGGGTTTTACCAGCATGACCAGCACATGTTCAGCGCACACGCATGTATGCAGCAGCCCAGCTTCTGTGCACCTTTTTGTGTTTTTGTGCCTTTTCACTGCGTCGTCCTGCACCGACATGGCAGACAGGCTCAAACTGTCCTCATCCACGCTCTGAACCTGTCAATCAGACTGCGTGGTTGTGAGTTTTGTAAAAAAAAGTCATGTTTGTGCATCTATAGAGGAGAATTTGTGTGTTTGTAAAAGTATTCAGACACGTTACACATTATTTAGTTAAGGTCTGCTTACAGAGAGAAAGCAGAAGCTGCTCTGGTTGCCTGGCTGTGTGCGACTCTCAACTTACGAGGACGGATTTTGAATCAGTTCAGCTGATTGGTCAATGTCATGTCAATCACATGACAATGTCCAATCAGAGAGCAGATGGGTTTGGCTGTGGGAGGGGCACTTTACTTAGCTTAGTCATACAGTTTGAAGCTGCAGGATGTCTGTAGCTCGGTTATTGAACCTTCGGTGGCTGCTGAAAGGATAACGTTGTTTACACCAGAAATACCTTTATTACCTTAGTGTTACGTTAACACAAAGTCAGGGC